AAAGAAGACTCCGAGGTGACTTGATTGAGACATTCAAAATTATGAATGGCCTATCAGGGATGTACCAAGCGGTGATCTTCGAGAGAATGCAAAGCAATACGAGGGGGCACACGTACAAGCTGAAGAAATTGCGCACGAGACTAGCGGTGCGTTTGAACTTCTTCAGCAACGGGGTAGTCAACGAGTGGAATAAGTTGCCGTAGGAGCTAGTAGAGCTAGGGCGCGTATATGCTTTCACGAAGGAGCTCGATAAGCGCTGGTTGACTTTATTTCCCGAAGTAGACTCACAGGTTGAGGCCTGGAAACAGGGGTGGGTTTTTCGTTTACTAACCACCCCCATCCGTGGAACACTTCCAAACGTGAGGTCTCTCGGCTGAACAAGGGGAGAAGATATCTTTTTACCTTCTCTTCCCTTGCAGAGACGGAGACAACTGAGACGTGAAGAAAACGTGTAGAACTGCGATATAGACACTCGCAGTGGTAGGGGCCAAAACGGGGCTTACTACCGGAGGAAATCTGGACGCTCCATTGGCCGTGGTCATCTCCTGTCCTGTGCAAACTGACTGACTGACTGATTGTCAAATCTAAACCGAAATCAGTAAATTTGTGCATCGTCAAGGGAGTCCAGGGCACTCTGAGTAACAGCCTGCACCACATGGGAAGTGAACTGCACAAATTGCGTGCAGAGGTAGACTCGATCAAAGCTGTTAGGGCAAATAGAGCGTCCAGGTGCAACACGTTACTGGTCCTCAATAAAGAGGAACCAATAATCAGCGAGTCTAAAACTCGGCGAGAAATGGATCGCCGCCGAGTGACTAATATACTTCGACCGGTAGGCTTAGATACAAAATGTCACAAAAAGAATACAAAAAGTAGGTGTTTGGAAGCAGCCAAACCCGAACGAAGTGACTGCTGCCCGACCGATACTACTGGAGTGCGGAGAGGCGGGACCAAGGAACGTGTTCTTGTCAAAAGCATCCCTTGTGAGTCAGCGCACAAACGGGCGCTACGGCATAGCCCCGGAGAACCCAAGACCGCATGGGAAAGTAGAATATAAGGGGTCCAAGGGAAGAGTCAGAAACCAGGGTACGCGGCTCACGGCAAACACCCCCTACAGAAACGGGGTGGTAATTATAGAAGAAATAATGGAAGAAGAGGAATTAAAGACCTGCTTGCCGAGCAGGTCGGTAAATGAAGATGATCAGAAAACTGTTCAAACGTCCACATCACTACGGAGGACGTCAATGATAGCACTGACGGACTCC